GCTGTTGCATAAGTTTTGGTTTGTTGCTTAACGCCGCACTCAGCAATATTCCAGCCATATGACGGCGGTCTGTAATTGATCGAGTCTGGACTAGATAATACAGCGATTGACATCATCACCATCGATCCACGCAATTGGGATCGATGACATGCATCAACCAAGTCAGCACGCCTGACCACCCGATCCCGCTAGTCGCTTTTTATGACAATCATAGTCGCCTTTTACGGCAAGCATGGGTTGCTGAAGACCTATTTTACCCCGGATCTTCAGGGGTCTGTACATAAGTCCTCTGTGCATAATACGCAATTAGATTCCCTGAAAAAGAAGCGTACTTTCGGTTTTGAGCACATGAAGACGTATTTGCTTTGTCAGGCACTGTACATTAACATTTACGTTGAAACTTCTTGCTTTTGGTTTAACAGAACTTACACGAATCCCAAAGTAAAGATATCAATGTCCCGGCCTCGTGGGTGTAAAAGTCATGAATGTGTACAGCTGTATCATAAAGGAAGACTGCAAACGTCACATGCAACATGCAGTAAACTACGGTTAAAACGAACACGCTTATAACGAACTGACGGATATGACGAACTTACATTTTGGTCCCGACTACTTGCTGTAGTCATGCTGTATATGTACTTATAACGAACTACGGTTATAACGAACTAAAATTAGTAGTCCCTTTGTGTTCGTTATAACCGTTACGGTAGTTTACTGTATATTTGTAAGGTATGTCAGCGATTTGCTGTGCAGAGTTGCGTCCCTTGGGCACGCCAGAAACCTATGATTGTGGGTTCGAATCCCGGTTCACCCCGATTATGTTTCTAGGTTTGTCAGCATCATACCTGTGCTCGTTGGTTTCACCGAAGTGGTAAACGTCTGAGACCTGCATCACTTCGGGCTTTCCTCCCACATTAAGCTGACACGCCGCGATATAACTGGAATACTGTTAAAAGCGGTGTTAAACCCAACTCACTCACTCACTGTATATTTGTATAATATAAAATAGTTTTCACCAAGGTGTTCTGTTTCGACGGTTAAAAGAGATTGAGTATTCTCTGGTGTTTGTATTTTATTCAAGCTACGGAGTACTGAGAAACCACAAACATTATATCCTCCAGACAAACAATCCAGTTCAGGGTTTTCATCATACGCAGTTTTTTTCAAATTTGTCAACTCTAAAATCAAGCTGTGAAGTTCTTGTAAACTTAGATTTCTCTGGACAGTTACTTGGACAACGTTTATAGAATTGTCTGATTCAATCATAACGACACGTTATAAACTCCATGGTTAATATTGTCTGTGCTATTATCCAGCTGTCTTGCATTTGTCCATTGAAATTTCCATCCTGTTACGTGTCAGAGCTATCACCGATCAGTGATAATTTAAGTCCTGGCTTACAGCTGTCCACCGTTATTATCTATCAGCGCTAATTAACAGTTACGTCTTGGCCTCCGTTTGTCCATTGTTAATCATGTGTCAGCGCTAATTAACAGTTACGTCTTGGCCTCCGTTTGTCCATTGTTAATCATGTGTCAGCGCTAATTAACAGTTACGTCTTGGCCTCCGTTTGTCCATTGTTAATCACGTATCAGCGCTAATTAACAGTTACGTCTTGGCTTCAATTTGTCCATTGTTAATCACGGGTCAGCGCTAATTAACAGTTACGTCTTGGCTTCCGTTTGTCCATTGTTAATCACGTATCAGAGCTAATTAACAGTTACGTGTTGGCTTCAATTTGTCCATTGTTAATCACGTATCAGAGCTAATTAACAGTTACGTGTTGGCTTCAATTTGTCCATTGTTAATCACTGATCAGCGCCAATTAACTGTTGACTTCCCTTGTTAAGTTTCCACCTTTGCTATCTTATTACTTATGTTGTTCTTACATTTACTTGACCCGTGAAGATTCCGGGGTAGAATAGGTCTTCAGCAACCCATGCTTGCCGTAAAAGGTGACTATGCTTGTCGTAAAAGTCGATTAACGGGATCGTGTGGTCAGGCTCGCTGACTTGGTTGATGCATGTCATCGATCCCAATTGCGTGGATCGATGCTCATGATATCGATCACTGGATTGTCTGGTCCATACTCGATTATTTACAGACCGCCGTCATAAAATTGGAATATTGCTGAGTGTGGCGTTAAACAATAAACCAACCAACTGTTTATATTCAATTCCGGTCAGTTTGTAATACAAACATTACAGACAACCCTTGCACCTCTATGTGAATTTGTGTTAGCACATGTGACTTGTTGTTACACAAAAAGAAAATTATTTAATAGGCATTACTGAGAAGTTGACGGATGACAAAGTAGATTGTGTCTTCTATGTCAAACAAAAAGAGGCTTTTTTGTCACAAAAGGCCCCGATTGGCGAAGAGGCCAATCTAATGATACGCCTGCTCGAGCATCTGGTAAGCTGACACATATTCACTGACCATTTCTGTCTGTTATCGAAAGCGTTTGTCAATACAATAGTACTACCACAACATCAGGTAGTTCAGGTAAGGTAAGGTAAATTTATTTCATGTCTCACCTCATACAAATAAATATATATACAGGTCACATAACAAAATACATGTGATGAGCCATCCCGTATTGGATTATGAGAGACTATAGAACGTAAAATGATACACAGACATAAAATATGGAATAAATATATATACGTTAGTAAAAAGGGTAAAAAGCATAAAATATTTATAAAAATTTAAGATGTATATAAACGTAATTTTCTAACATCTAAGACATCCATGCAGGTTTTGGCAGTAACTTTAAAAATATATGGGCATGACATAATAAAAGCTAACTGATCAACATCAGACATATCATAAAAATTGGCATATAACGTTGAACATAAAACTAACATATTTTTAGTAATGAACTTCTATGCAATAAAATCAATGTATCGTTGTATATACACCACGGAAATCTACATTTGTTCAGATGATGTGTCATTCCGTCATCAGTACGATGTTCGTGTGCACGTATAAGTACATTCACTAAAAATAGACAGGTGTTAACTATGATCACGATAGAGAGATAAATAATCGCAGGTCGGGGTATAACATTTCCTTGGTTACAGTTAATAGTTAGTTACGAGTTGACATTTTTTAAATTGTTCTTCATAAGTTGAAAGATATATTGGTGCTGAAACAGACTAGCAATCAACGCTATAACCGTGAGGCAATCGCGTTACTCAATTCAACCCAAAAGGAACAACATATAGGGCGCCGTTTTAAACTATTAATTATATTCCTTATTTAATGATATCAGTAATTCATTTATTGATTCCTAAGAATGAATTTTTGTGACAAAATTGATTTTTTGTTCTCCTGAAATATTTATTGATTTATTGATATATTTTTAGATATCTACAAAAAAATTCATTATATCAAATTATGTATTTTATCATATAAATAATAGAATTTGTGATATTTAAAAAATTAAAAGTAGTTTTTGATATCACAAATTGTGAGAATTACATCCGCTAGAGTGTTTTTTCAATGACTTCCAGCATATCGCTAGATATACTTTTGTTTGTACATCTCCTACTCTATGTTTGTTGTTTAGTGATTTTCATGGTGTACTTCTCGATAAAATGAAGCATTAATGACCACAGTAATTGTTCCTTGTAATATTCTGTCTTCAGCCTTTGTCTCCATGCCATTAGACCAAATTTTGAACAGTTCGTGCAGACAGTTGCCGTAATATTTACGTACATAGTCATATTCAGAGGATGTCGCTGCATGTACTTTTCTTATTTCATCAAAACACGAGCTTTAGGATAAGAGATGTATCATTGTATTTAATGCGATCTGAATATTATTTTTACCATCTTACTTACGTACATGCTTTACATGAGACGTTTTATGTTTGCATGTCACCATAAATTACAATTATTGCTGGTAAGCTGAACACAATTGACAAATACTCCAATAAACATGATTGTAAACGAGTCATGTATTCATGAAAAAGTGTATGATTTGAAAATGCCAAAATGATGTATCAAGGATCGAGTAGAAGATATATTGACAGTTTATTCAACAGACCAACTTTTAACTGACGCAGTCAAAGCGCAATTTTGCCTCTCCTGGCGATCATTATGCAAAGGCCATCTTATACACAACTCCGCGCTCACGTCCAATGGTGTCTTTTTGCCGTACGGTTATTAGTAGAGCCCTCTGCCTCAAATGTTTCCTCCATGATATAAACAACTCTCATTAAGTAAATGTTGCTTTTTCCCAGTGTCACGGAGAGACACAAAGTGTTTTGACTCCTTTATTCGTGTTTCCTCTCAGAATAATAGTCATGAATTCAAGTCAATAGCCTGATATGAAAATATTCTGAGTTGCGATTATATTTGGTTATCATGGCATACACAGAGGCAGTGACCCGTGTAGCTTTCATTTCAACCCGACATCGTTCCAGGAATCCATGAGCTACACACCTTTAACAAAGTAGATATTCGTAAATAACTGCTCCTATATACTTGATCCAAACTGCAATCTTATGTTCTCCTGTACGCCATGAGCTGTAATGCTTAGGGAATAACCATTTGATATTCGGGGGCTGAATGGGGCTGTGATTTTGTCCATAGATGGGAAATCAAATATATTTTTGATTATTTATTTTTTCGATATTATTATTTTCGAGTATCAAATGGTCGGCCCCTTTGGGATAGAGTATCTTAGAATCAAAGGCAATTGTCAGCAAGTCACTGAACTGAAGTACGCCAAATTGTGAATAAAGACTAAAATATCACGAGTCAATGCTAATACAACAATATAAATATTTGTTGTTGAATAGTAATCTATCGTGTAGTTGTCCGATTTTCGGTCACGAACGTTGATACTACTTAATTTCGTTTATCCGACATAATCATATGCAACCAACCATGTTGGATTAACGGGACTTGACTGAATTTCACTCGTAAACAGCCTAGAAATGACAGGTTCAAAACTTACTGATATCACAAAGCATGTTGTATGTGTATCTGCAGGTGTCATATCGACCGTGGGCAACAGCCTTGTTCTGGCCATCTTCCTCCGGGACAAGCACCTGCTCAAGAAGCCCCAGAACCTGCTACTGGTCAACCTCGCCATCTCCGACATTGGCATCAGTGTGTTCGGCTACCCATGGACCGTGGCGTCCAACTACGCCAAACGCTACCTCTTTGGGACGGCGTTCTGCTCTATACAAGGTTTCATGACGTTCACCCTGGCACAGACCGACATGAACACTCTGGCATGTCTGAGTGTGTTCCGCTACATAACCATCTGCTACCCTCAATTCGGTACGTCGAATTTGAGATACACATCACATCATCACTAACGTATATGGAATACAATATTTGTTGGCCAAATTATGCAAGCCGTTTACACAATAACCCGAGCTTCCAAAGGGGTACGACGTGTAACGCATGAGCTGATAAGGCTTAGAGGCTTACAGCAGCGTACACCGCAACCCACGCACTTAATATTCAAACGGTATTTACTGGAATACCAGATTACCGCTTTACGCCACAAAAATATATGCATCAGCCGTGTTGCAGTTGTTCGCGGCGAAAAACCAGAGAAAAAACTGCTCAATTAGTTAATTAGATCATGTTTCATAATTATGTTTCTTATACTTATCAGCATATTGTTTGAACTACGAAGTCGCAAAGTTCACCATCATCTTCACGTGGGCCTACTCTCTTCTGTGGACAACACCGCCTCTCGTCGGCTGGAGCTCATATACCTTTGAACCCTTCGGAACGTCTTGCTCCATCGACTGGAGCAACTCTGGTACTAAAGAACTGTCGTACACTTGGTGCCTCATCATCTTCTGTTTCCTCATTCACGTTGTCGTCATGATATACTGCTACTGCAACGTATGCAAGAAGATCCGCGAGGTTGACGGCAGGGTTCCCCCCTCAACTATAAGTAATCCCCGGACTGGCGAAATTATGAGGACCTACAATATGAGAAAGGAGAAGAGGGTTACCCTTGTAAGTATGACGTAGTCAGTATCGTTATCTTAATCCAATAAACCGCCTCCGTGGTCTAGTGGTAGAGTGTCGGCCCGGAGAGCGGAAGGTCCGGGGTTCGATCCCCGGCCGCGTCATACCAAAAGACGTTAAAAGATGGTACTTGTTGTTACCCTGTCTGGCGCTCGGCATAAGGGGTTAAAACAAGGACTGGTCGAGTCAGAATACTGTGTCTGCGTGGGGTATTCATGTTAAACTGCGGCATGGTATCTCATTGTGCTAGCACTATAGATCGGCATCAGTCCGGACTAGTACAAGCAGCCATACACACGTGCATACACGTCGTTTATTAGTGCAACAATCTTGGACGCGACGTTAAACCCTATTTCACCTCACCATAATCCAATAGAAAATGTTCCACACTGAGGTCTAGATAGATCGGTGGGTCGATGCCCCTGTCGGGTCTTTCCAAAAAGATGGCATTTACTGTTACCCATCCTGGCGGTGGGCATTAAGAGTAACATCAAGGACTTTCGGCTGGGAGTCAGAATAATGTGTCTGTCTGGGGTTAAACTGGGTCTGGGTCGTTCAAAGGACGTGTTCGGGCATGTAGTCAAACTCTCTGACTATTCCCAATGTATGTTAAAACGCCGAGGTTAAGATTAAAGGATCTGTATGATCTGAAACAACGCACCTGTACTTTTGCGTCATGGAGATTTCCTAAACCTTTTAGCAGGAATGTTAAAGTACGTCATTTCAAGTAATCAGTCTCGTAAAAAACCCGTATGAACGTCAAAAAGTGTCGTTCATACTCTTATTTACGTCCTTTTCGTGGTCATTTGACATGCCCCTGGACGAAAAGCTGTGTTTCGTGTAATTCAACATTGAATTATTGATGCATTCATATTGCAATATCCCATGGTCAAATGCCAAAACATCGATGACAGGTTTAAATAGTTCACGTCGATGTCGAGCTATGCTATCAATGGTATCGATAGACCTAATACATGTCAATGTGTTACCCATGTTTTGCTTTGGGTCCAAAACTCATCACCGATGTTTAAGCTTATAATGTTGATTTTGCTGTTTTCAGATAGCGCTTCTTCTGAATGTGACCTTTGTTGTCATCTGGGCCCCATACACCGTTGTCTGTCTTTGGTCTGTGTATGACAAAGATCTGCCATCCTGGGTCACAACCTTTCCCACATTCTTTGCGAAGGCTTCTTGTATGACGAACCCATTCTTATATTTCCTGACAAACTCAACACTACGACTGAAGGCCAAGCGACTATTCACCAGAAACGTACAACGCGTTTACCCGTACCCTCCTCGGTAAGAACATATTATAGTGAGTGAGTGAGTGAGTATTGTTTTACGCCACTTTTAGCAATATTCCAGCAATATCACGGCGGGGGACACCAGAAATCGGCTTCACACAATGTACCCATGTCGGGAATCGAACCCGGGTCTTCGGCGTGACGAGCGAACGCTTTAACCACTAGGCTACCCGACCGCCCAGAACATATTATAACATCGGTAATAAACATATTCTGTCGCAAACGATAATCCCCGCATCAACCCCTTCACCCACCCACCCACCCCATCCAGAATATTACATTGTCGAACTCTGGCTACTTAAATTACACGTTTGTGTGAGGATTTTGATTACTATTCCAGCAATAACTGGGCAGGAAAACACTTCTTCACTTGGATAGAGAAAACATTAGTTTTAATAGAATCGTTTTGAATAGGCATCAGTCAATAAATTATATTTGCACCGACTACTTCTCTTGTCGACAATAACGTTTTATGAGCTAAGAACATCCATACAGATTCCTAACAGGTATTCGCGGCAAGATTTGTCATATTTTTACTTGAAGTATATTTTAGAATCCTATTTATATTTACTTCTATTTTATTGTTACCTAATACGTATCCCATCGACCTTACGGTTTCGTGAGTTAAACAGCTTCCTCACACATATAAGCAAGGGGACAGTTTTTATTTTATTTTTACCTAATATTTATCCCATCGACCTTACGGTTTCGTGAGTTAAACAGATTCCTCACATATATAGAAAAGGGGACAGTTTTTATTTTATTTGTACCTCATATTTATCCCATCGACCTTACGGTTTTGTGAGTTAAGTGCTTAAAACATTTCCGCATATTCACATGCATGAGGAGAGTTTTCATGTTTGTTTGTATAATGTTTCAGTCCATCTCAGCCTGAAACTGGTATCAGTAAGGATGGAGTGTACATCGGGAGGAGAGCCTTTATATCCGAGAAGATGGAGACGTCTATTATGTGAGATAAGGAGAGATAACAGCTGTAACATTGTACAAGAAAAACATCAGGAAATATCTGTTTTCAGCGCCTTTACAATCTACAATAGTCACAAAAACATCATGATCAGATCCAATCGGCATATTCCATGAACTGCTGCCGAGGTCAAGTTATATGCGTACACAAAACGTCAGATTATCTCAACAACATGACAATTGCTATATGCCGAATGGATTGGCTAAATTGAAATTAGACAATGAAATATCATCTTTCAGGGTGAATGAGAGAATGAGTGAGTGAGTTTGGTTGAACAGAATTCTTTTTATAACACACCTTGACAGCTTGTGGGTAGAAGGGCTGATGCAGGTCTCAGACGTTTACCACATTCGTGAAACCAACGAATACGTGTATGATGCTGACAAACCCAGAAACATAATCGGGACGAACGAGTTGCGGCGCCTGAGACGAGTGAGCCTAAGAAGCCCTGACAAATTCTGCGATTCTGCAATCGCAGAAAGATTTGCGGAAAATGTATTTTACCGCAGAAATGCACAATTACCTAGAAATATGCCTCAGAATGTTGTAATTTTAGCAGAAAATCTTTGCTAATTTGATCGCAGAATTCGTCTCGGACTCGGCCAACTGTGTCCCTTCCCGCAACAATGATGCTGATGATCAGCTGGTACTTCATAAATATCAGTGAGCGAGTGAGTATGGTTTTACGCCGCTTTTAGCAATATTCCAGCAATATCAAGGCGGGGGACACCAGAAATGGGCTTCACACATTGTGCCTATTTCGGGAATAGAACCCGGGTCTTCGGCTTGACGAGCGAACGCTTGACCACTAGGCTACCCGACCGCCCCTCATAAATATCAGGATGTATCAAGACCTAGTCAATGTGGTTGAGTTGACAGGTGACTCGATATCATACATACTGTTTAATGTTAATTCGAATGAGGACTATGCGCATGAGCGCGAACTTTTAGTGAACTTGGAACAAGCGGCGACCGCCAGTCTTGCAAAACATTCATTTCAAATGTAGCGCGTTGCCTGTGAGTGAGTGAGTGAGTGAGTGAATGAGTTGGGTTTAACACCGCTTTTAACAGTATTCCAGTTATATCGCGGCGTGTCAGCTTAATGTGGGAGGAGAGCCCGAAGTGACGCAGGTCTTAGACGTTTACCACTTCGGTGAAACCCACGAGCACGGGTATGGTGCTGACAAACCTGGAAACATAATCGGGGCGAACCGGGATTCGAACCCACAATCATAGGTTTCTGGCGTGCCCAAGGGACACGTTGCCTGTAGAATCTCTTAAGAACAGTTTAGGTTCGCACGGCTTACAGTTTTGTTATCTGTCCTTTGTATCGTGTTTGTTGACGGGCGCTACCAACAATTCTTTTGTATTAGCAAACGTTCGTTCAATGAGTTTTAACTGCCCAAAACATGTAGATCGTGCATGTGAACAAAACATGTCGTGTTTATATACTATAGTGTTGGTTGGTTTGTTAGTTGTTTAACGCCGCACTCAGCAATATTCCAGCTATATGACGGCAGTCTGTAAAAAAATCGAGTCTGGACCAGACAATCCAGTGATTGATATCATGAGCATCGATCCACGCAATTGGGATCGATGACATGCATCAACCAAGTCAGCAAGCCTGACCACACGATCCCTTTAGTCGCCTTTCACGACAAGCATAGTCGCCTTTTACGGCAAGCATGGGTTGCTGAAGACCTATTCTACCCCGGAATCTTCACGGGTCCTATAGTGTTAATCTGGTCCAGTTTGGCTGTGCATTACAAGGAAACTACAAAATTGAATATATTATTCCTGTTTGACAGGCCTTGCGAGGTTGAATTCCCAGCGTAAACAAAAACGGTGTCCTCCAATCCGACATTTGAACGAATACAGGCAATTCCCGAAGTGACTGAAAAGTTGATCAAAAAAAAATAAATGAGTACATCGATAGGGAGGACCTCTGGACTATTGACATGCTTTATGATATGCATAAACTTTATGTCAGTTTGTTTGTTCGTTTGTTTGTTTGTTGTTTAATACCGCACTAAGCAATATTCCTGCTACATGAACGCGCTAAGTCTGGACAAGACAAAACCCAGTGATTGACACCAGGAGCTTCGATCTACGCAATTAGGATACATTGGCAAGCATCAACTGAGTCAGCGACCATCCGATCCCGTTAATCGCCTCTTACGACAAGTTGAAGGTCAATTCTATCCCGGATCTGCACGGAGTATGATGTCAATTACAACTCGTATATTGGTCAAATTTCGAATGACTATTTATGATAAGACTTTCGATTGTCCAGATGCTTTAAGTTTAATTACATGTCGGTTCTTAGGCGCCGAAAAAATGTAAGTAAATTGAATGTATTGAAATAGTGTTTATTAATTTTTCAAATTCAAGTTGCATTTAAATTGATATTATTTTCCATGTTAGTGTTTTTGGAAAACCGTGCTTGTTAAAAGTGGAATGACAATGCTGAAATATCGGATATCTCCGGAAATGTACATGTGTGGTTGTTTATGTTTATATCCGACATTCAAGCATTCAAGATTTATCGGAGTAAAAGTATTTTTTCTCTCAATGTTGTTTTGACATTTCTTGAGTGAATCCTTTGTATGCAATAGGTGTTGACGTTACCATGGTGCTTAAGCATTGAAGTATATTTTCAGCATGGTTTGTTTGGTTTGGTTTGTTTGTTGTTTAACGCCACACTCAGCAATATTCCAGCTATATGATGGTGGTCCGTAAACAATCGAGTATGGACCAGACAGTCCAGCGATTGGCATCATGAGCATCAATCCACTCAATTGGGATACGATTACATGCACCAACCAAGTCAGCGAGCCTGACCACCCGATCCCGTTAGTCGTTTCTTACGACAAGCATAGTCGCCTTTTACGGCAAGCATGGGTTGGAAATTGTTAGTGATTAACACTATTACAATGCGAATGTAGGTTGTGCATATATTACAGTTCCCAGAAAAGTAAAATAGCATGATATAAGTTACTGCAATAAAGGTATCCACGACAAATCGCTCGGCTACTAATGAGAGATAGTTCAACGTGCTACAACTATCGATGAAGTACAATTGTACACGCACGCACGCACGCACTCAGAGTTAAACATACTATAACAGTTTCTGATACAACAGTTGGTACATATTTGGACATATCATCACACAGGGGGCAATGCTTTTCATCTTCGAGTGAGTGAGTGAGTGAGTTGGGTTTAACGCTGCGTTTAACAGTATTCCAGTTATATCACGGCGTGTCAGCTTGATGTGGGAGAAAAGCCCGAAGTGATGCAGGTCTCAGATGTTATAATTGGATAGACAATGAATCTCTCTTCTACTTAAATGACTATTGAGGAATACGATGAACTTCGAGATTCTTTTATGAACAGATTTGGGTTTGGTGTTCAATAGTTTTGCAAACGTAAAGATATTTGGCCAATCGTAATAATATTTATCAATCAAGATAACTCGTTGATTGGACAGCACCAAGTGAGCGAGCTTAATGAGGTATACCTGTCCATCTACCCGTCTCTATTGGCAATTAATTAGTACATGTACGGAACGAAAGTAAAGGTTAAGAAATATTTCGAGGCAGTCGTAAGTCATTTTCAAATTATGTGTGGTCTTTAAGGTACTTGTAGTGATTCTCTTTTGAAGAGCTGACAGACCCGTGAAGATCCGGGGTAGAATAGGTCTTCAGCAACCCATTCTTGTCGTAAAAGACAACAAACAGGATCGGGTGGTCAGGCTCGATGACTTGGCTGATGCATGTCATAGATCCCAATGGCGTGGATCGATGCTCATGATATCAATCACTGAATTGTCTGGTCCAGATTCGATTATTTACAGACCGCCGTCATATAGCTGGAATATTGCTTGCTGAGTGCGGCGTAAAACAACAAATAAACCAACCAAGAGTTGACAACACCACTTCTCCAAAACTGGATATACTAAAGGCGGAGGGTCTCAGGTCGCAAGTTGATATAAAATATACCGTATTCGATGTAATAAGCGCCCCGTCCTAATAAGCGCCCACGGCGATATTTGTTAATATATTGGCTAGAGAACAATCCCAATTAGCACCCCTTCTAATTGATCAATGTACATAAAGGTTATCACGCGAGTGTGTTTGGGGATGGTATGGTAAATATCCTGCATTAGGAATAAACATTGTATTTAGGGAACCCGTGGTGAGCTAAATACATAGTGTTTATTCCTAATACAGGATATTTACCATCACCAAACAAACAAGCGTGATAACCTCTTTATCATATAATGGCATTCTTTAATTCTGTGCTTGAAAATAGCTTTCCCTCTCTCACAAACATTACCGAAACATTGCTAGTTTTCCTGGAATGCGCGCATAAATATTTATTACGTCACAGGGTAAGTGATGTGTCAGTCGGACAGTGACAGTAGCCAATATAGTTCCAACTGAAATCTGTTTCTTATACAGTGGCGAAGCATTATATACGCAAAACAACAGATGTTTTTAGTTGCCTTTCGCGGCAATCCATCGGTCTGTCCGCTAGAGTAACTGCCCTTTGTCAAAGGGAAGCTACTCTAACCCTAGTCTATGAGACGTCACGGCCACGGTCAGACGTTGTTGACACTCGGTCTGTCCTGTTATAACGTTAAGAAGTGTAGTCAGCGACAAAACGAAACAAGGTAACAATTCAAACATATTTCGACAAAATCTAACTATTTTAATTTGTGGGGAAGGTTTCAAGCCGCAGAGGTCTACAAGCACAGACATGGCTAGGTCTCGTGCCCTCGCAAAATTGTTTCGAAATTTATATCTCCAAAGTTGCCAAAACTTATTAAATGCCTTAGCCACGTCACAGTTAGACACTGATTTTCAGTATATTAGACTGTTCTTTTGATAATAATAGCAATTATCCCTGTAGTTTATCCAGATTCCCGATGGTTAATTCTGACTCGATCGCCGAATGACGAGGGCGACGCCATGCTTGTTTATAAACAGT